GCTCTCATATTAATAATTATTATTACTTTGTCATATATTAAGTGAGCAATAGAGCTAGGCCGAAAAAATGCATATACGTACAGCGGACCCCCGCTTTACGATCACCTCCCAATGCGACCAATTATGTAAGTGTATTTATGTAAGTGTGTTTGTACGTGTATGTTTGGGGGTCTGAAATGGACTAATCTAATTCACAATATTCCTTATGGGAACAAATTCGGTCAGTACTGGCACCTGAACATACTACTTCTGGAATGAAAAAATATCGTAAACCCGAGGTCCACTGTATAGTGAGTGGTGAATATATTTATTGTAGGAAGTCTGAATAAATGAAGAATGGGTGTAACTGAAAATGGCAGCATTAGCGAAATGCCATAAAGCCGGTCCCACCTGTACGAGACACTTAATACATTGGCCATTTCCCAAAAAAACCAGGGTGATCCAAAAACGAAAAAATAATGTTGAAATAATTTTCTTTTGAGTAATAATTTTCTTTTGAGTAATTCACATGCATTGACTTGTTAAGTTACTGTAGTCGTTGTTAAAATGATCTCATCTTAAAAAATAAACCAGGGAACAGGTGGGGTTTGAACTTGTGGCGTTTGTGTTATTACAAATTTGCGAGTAGTTTCTCAAAATTTTTAGCTTCAACACCAAGATTGTAAAGTTTACTAATAATGATAAAGTACATATTTGCTATTGGTATGATGTATAAATATACGTAGTCAGACTTGCAAATGATCAGAATTATTCAGTGAAGGTTCTTCATTACGTATATTTAATAGTTAAAACAGGTTTATTGGGAAGTCTGAATTATGAGCATTGAATAACATCGTTTAACTCAATTGGAAATTACTTATTTCTTTGTCCACTTGTAAATTAAGGTTGGAGTCAGGAAAAGTGTAAGTAGCTCCATTTCTGTGGATCAAGATCCTTTTACCAGCATCAATGCATTTGTTGGGGGGTAGGTTTGTGTAAAGATAAGCCTTCAAGGGAGATGCCTTGATGCTGGGAGATGCCTTGATGCTAGTAAAGGGCTCTTGATCCACAGAATTGAATTTACCCTCCCTTTCCTTGGATCGAATCTCATTGTCTTCCTCTCACACATCATTTAGGCAAGTGATAGTGAAAGTTTTTCTTCTTTTTACGTCACCCTGCCTTGGTGGGAGACAGCTGGTGTATTAACAAAAATACAGTGGACCCCCGCCTTACGATATTATTTAATTCCAGAAGTCTGTTCGGGTGCCGTTTGAGACCGAATTTGTTCCCATAAGGAATATTGTGAATTAGATTAGTCCATTTCAGACCCCCAAAAATACACGTACAAAAGCACTTACAAAAATACACTTACATAATTGGTTGAGTTGGGAGCTGATCATAAACCGGGGGTCCACTGTACAGTGGAACCTCAAATATCGAACTTTCTTCGGTCCAGAAGGCTGTTCGAGTACCTTTACCGAATGAATTTATTCCCATCAGGAATAATGTAAATTAGATTAGTCCATTTCAGACCCTCAAAAATACACTTATGAAAGCACTTACAAAAATACACTTACATAATTGGTCGTGTTGGGAGCAGTTCGATTTTTGAGGTTCCACTGTATAGTGAATTTATCGTAATGTTTGTAGTAGCAAGATTTTACAAAAATAAAATTTATATAGAATGTGAAGACATTACACCTTAGTGGACTACTGTTAGCTTGAGAATATACCATACCTGGAATATACCTAGAGGGTGTGTTGGGGGTCAGTGCCCTGCAGCCCGGCCCATGACCAGGCGTCGCTGTGGATCAGGGCCTGATTAACCTGGCTGTAACTGCTGGCAGCAGAGATATCTTAGTGTTTTCATGTGTTAGCTAATTTGTTAATGTTGAATGGATACTCTATGTAATTAATGGTATCTGCATGCCTCTGGCAAGACAGTGATAGCACGAATGATTTTTTTTTTTTGGGGGGGGGGTCACCCTGCCTCAGTTGGAGATTGCCAGCATGTAAAAAAAAAAAAATGAGAGAGAGAGAGAAATTTGCTGATTAGTTAACAATATCGCTTTTGCTTTATTAATAACAGTTACCTAGAACCTGTTGGGTCAAAAACTGGGCCACAGTTACAGGACTGAGGATCAAGCTCTCCAGAACTCATGCGTAATGAACCCCGTGGGTTAGCACTTAATGCAAATAGTAACACAAGTATCATCAGACTTATGACCGAGCTTGTTTCCAACCAACCGGCCGCAAGTCAAAATGGACGCAAATCAAACCTTAGAAAATTACCGACATACTGGATAGGACATAATGTCAAACCTTTGCTATACTGTATAAAGTACAGTGGACCCCCGCATACCGTTGGCCTTACATAACGTTAAATCCGCATACCGATACATTTTATCGCTAAGATTTTGCCTCGCATACTGCTTAAAAACTCGCTCAACGCTGTTCATCCAAGACGCGTCTAATGTGCGGCCTGAGCCAGCCTCACATGTTCCGCCGGTGGCATTGTTTACCAGCCAGCCTCCGCGGTAACATCCAAGCATACATTTGGAACATTTCGTATTATTACAGTGTTTTTGGTGATTTTATCTGCAAAATAAGTGACCATGGGCCCCAAGAAAGCTTCTAGTGCCAACCCTACAGCAATAAGGGTGAGAATTACTATAGAGATGAAGAAAGAGATCATTGATAAGTATGAAAGTGGAGTGCGTGTCTCCGAGCTGGCCAGGTTGTATAATAAACCCCAATCAACCATCGCTACTATTGTGGGCAACAAAACAGCAATCAAGGAAGCTGTTCTTGCCAAAGGTTCAACTGTGTTTTCAAAACAGAGATCGCAAGTGATGGAAGATGTTGAGAGACTCTTATTGGTATGGATAAATGAAAAACAGATAGCAGGAGATAGCATCTCTCAAGTGATCATAAGTGAAAAGGCTAGGAAGTTGCATCAGGATTTAATTAAAAAAATGCCTGCAACTAGTGATGTGAGTGAATTTAAGGCCAGCAAAGGTTGGTTTGAGAGATTTAAGAAGCGTAGTGGCATACATAGTGTGATAAGGCATGGTGAGGCTGCCAGTTCGGACCACAAAGCAGCTGAAAAATATGTGCAGGAATTCAAGGAGTACATAGACAGTGAAGGACTGAAACCTGAACAAGTGTTTAATTGTGACGAAATAGGCCTGTTTTGGAAGAAAATGCCAAGCAGGACCTACATTACTCAGGAGGAAAAGGCACTCCCAGGACATAAGCCTATGAAAGACAGGCTTACTCTGTTGATGTGTTCCAATGTCTTTATTAGTGTATCACTCAGAAACTCCCAGAGCGTTCAGGCAAAAGAATATCCTCAAGGCTAATTTGTGTGTGCTGTGGAGGGCAAACAGTAAGGCATGGGTCACTAGGGACTTTTTCTATGACTGGTTACACCATGCATTTGCCCCCAATGTGAAAGATTACCCAACTGAAAAGAAATTAGATCTTAAGTGCCTCCTGGTGTTAGACAATGCCCCTGGTCATCCTACAGACGTGGCAGAGCGACTTTATGGGGACATGAGCTTCATTAAGGTGAATTTTTTGCCTCCTAATACCACTCCTCTCCTGCAGCCCATGGACCAGCAGGTTATTGCAAACTTAAAAAAACTGTACACAAAAGCTCTGTTTGAAAGGTGCTTTGTAGTGACCTCAGAAACTCAACTGACTCTAAGAGAGTTTTGGAGAGATCACTTTAATATCCTCAATTGTGTAAACCTTATAGGTAAGGCTTGGGAGGGAGTGACTAAGAGGACCTTGAACTCTGCTTGGAAGAAACTGTGGCCAGAATGTGTACACCAAAGGGATTTTGAAGGGTTTCAGGCTAACCCTGAGAGGAGTATGCCAGTTGAGGAATCCATTGTGGCATTGGGAAAGTCCTTGGGGTTGGAGGTTAGTGGGGATGATGTGGAAGAGTTGGTGGAGGAGGACAATGAAGAACTAACCACTGATGAGCTGCTAGATCAACTTCAACAGCAAGAGGCCAGACCTGAGGAAACTGGTTCAGAGGAGGGGAGAGAGAAATTGAAGAAGTTGCCTACTACAAAGATTAAGGAAATCTGTGCAATGTGGCTGAAAGTGCAAACCTTTATGGATGAAAATCACCCTCACACAGCTATTGCAAGTCGTGCTGGTGACTATTACACTGACAATGTTGTGAAACACTTTAGGGAAGTCATAAAGGAACTAGAGGTACAGGCCACTATGGACAGATATGTTGTGCGACAGAAGTCCAGTGACTCTGAAGCTGGTCCTAGTGGCATTAAAAGAACAAGGGAAGTAACCCCAGAAATGAACTTGACACCTCAAGTCTTAATGGAAGGGGATTCCCCTTCTAAACACTAAGACACTCTCCTCCTCCCATCCCATCAATCATCACCAGAACTTCAATAAAGGTAAGTGTCATGTAATTGTGCATGCCTTTTTCAGTTTGTGTGTATTAAAATTAATATTTCATGTGGTAAAAAAAATTTTTTTCATACTTTGGGGTGTCTTGAACGGATTAATTTGATTTCCATTATTTCTTATGGGGAAAATTCATTCGCATAACGATAATTTCGCATAACAATGAGCTCTCAGGAACGGATTAATATCGTTATGCGGGGGTCCACTGTACTTTCATAGTATCGTATGTTACTTTGTACTAAATATTTTACTACTGTATATGCTTCCAGACGTATGTTACTTTGTACTAAATATTTTACTACTGTATATGCTGCCAGATGTATGTTACTTTTTACTAAATGTTTTACTACTGTATATGCTGCCAGACGTATGTTACTTTTTACTAAATATTTTACTACTGTATATGCTGCCAGATGTACGGTTGTAAGTACAAGTGGTCGTATGTTGAGCAGGTCGTAAGTCGGATGGTACTTGTAATTTCTTATTGAAATGTGAGACTGTTTTATCTATAAAATCTTCTTAACACTTTAAACTTTTCAGGCTTTGCTAGCAAATAAGAATGACAAACGGCTCTCCCTCAGGTATACGCACAGGGCCTACAGGCATACCGTATTCTTCTACCGGCTCTGGAGGGTCTGCGACCAGTTCTCAGGAGGACCTCATTACTGTACCCCATCCTGTTGCCAGCCCACGTCGCTCTGCTCGAGGTCTCCAGCCTCCCACCAACTACTCTTCACATACAACGCCGTCACGGGAGGGCTCAGACCTCTCCACACCACCAGATAGTCCTTATAATTCACAGCACAACCTTGAAGTTTGTAATGGTGAGGAAACTGCCTTTTATTTGTTATCCAGGCAGGATACAAAAGGGATTTATTTCTTCAGAATGAATGTTATTTTAAGTATAATTTAGATGAGCCCTATTTAAAAAAAAGGCCTACAGCCTCTCCTCACTTAGCAATGAATTCATTTACCGATGTGGTTTTAGGAACAAAACTCCGTCATTAAGTGAGGAGAAGCTGTATTAAACAAATAACCCGCATATGGGAGGAAAAAACTTAGGATGTTTTGGTTCAACTTGGATCATTAACTAGTTACTAGTATTACTAGTACAGTGGACCCCCGCTTTACGATCACCTCCCAATGCGACCAATTATGTAAGTGTATTTATGTAAGTGCGTTTGTACGTGTATGTTTGGGGGTCTGAAATGGACTAATCTAATTCACAATATTCCTTATGGGCACAAATTCGTTCAGTAATGGCACCTGAACATACTTCTGGAATGAAATAATATCGTAAGCCGGGGGTCCACTGTATTATACTGGTAATGGGTTTGTGTCAAGCATATTTAGATATTATTTTAATGTTGCCTTTGCACTATTTATGTAATTTTTAGTATGTTTTTGAATGTTTATACAGTAGTGTACTGTTATTTTTTTTTTTTTTATCACACTGGCCGATTCCCACCAAGGCAGGGTGGCCACCAAGGCAGGGTGGCCACCAAGGCAGGGTGGCCACCAAGGCAGGGTGGCCACCAAGGCAGGGTGGCCACCAAGGTAGGGTGGCCACCAAGGTAGGGTGGCCACCAAGGCAGGGTGGCCCGAAAAAGAAAAACTTTCACCATCATTCACTCCATCACTGTCTTGCCAGAAGGGTGCTTTACACTACAGTTTTTAAACTGCAACATTAACACCCCTCCTTCAGAGTGCAGGCACTGTACTTCCCATCTCCAGAACTCAAGTCCGGCCTGCCGGTTTCCCTGAATCCCTTCATAAATGTTACTTTGCTCACACTCCAACAGCACGCCAAGTATTAAAAACCATTTGTCTCTATTCACTCCTATCAAACACGCTCACGCATGCCTGCTGGAAGTCCAAGCCCCTCGCACACAAAACCTCCTTTACCCCCTCCCTCCAACCTTTCCTAGGCCGACCCCTACCCCGCCTTCCTTCCACTACAGACTGATACACTCTTGAAGTCATTCTGTTTCGCTCCATTCTCTCTACATGTCCGAACCACCTCAACAACCCTTCCTCAGCCCTCTGGACAAAAAGTTTTGGTAATCCCGCACCTCCTCCTAAACTTCCAAACTACGAATTCTCTGCATTATATTCACACCACACATTGCCCTCAGACATGACATCTCCACTGCCTCCAGCCTTCTCCTCGCTGCAACATTCATCACCCATGCTTCACACCCATATAAGAGCGTTGGTAAAACTATACTCTCATACATTCCCCTCTTTGCCTCCAAGGACAAAGTTCTTTGTCTCCACAGACTCCTAAGTGCACCACTCACTCTTTTTCCCTCATCAATTCTATGATTCACCTCATCTTTCATAGACCCATCCGCTGACACGTCCACTCCCAAATATCTGAATACGTTCACCTCCTCCATACTCTCTCCCTCCAATCTGATATTCAATCTTTCATCACCTAATTTTTTTGTTATCCTCATAACCTTACTCTTTCCTGTATTCACCTTTAATTTTCTTCTTTTGCACACCCTACCAAATTCATCCACCAATCTCTGCAACTTCTCTTCAGAATCTCCCAAGAGCACAGTGTCATCAGCAAAGAGCAACTGTGACAACTCCCACTTTGTGTGTGATTCTTTATCTTTTTACTCCACGCCTCTTGCCAAGACCTCGCATTTACTTCTCTTACAACCCCATCTATAAATATATTAAACAACCACGGTGACATCACACATCCCTGTCTAAGGCCTACTTTTACTGGGAAAAAATTTCCCTCTTTCCTACATACTCTAACTTGAGCCTCACTATCCTCGTAAAAACTCTTCACTGCTTTCAGTAACCTACCTCCTACACCATACACTTGCAACATCTGCCACATTGCCCCCCTATCCACCCTGTCATACGCCTTTTCCAAATCCATAAATGCCACAAAGACCTCTTTAGCCTTATCTAAATACTGTTCACTTATATGTTTCACTGTAAACACCTGGTCCACACACCCCCTACCTTTCCTAAAGCCTCCTTGTTCATCTGCTATCCTATTCTCCGTACTGTATACTGTAATAAACAAAATAGAGAAAATCAGATGTAATATACATAGGTTTGCATACTGGTTGGAGTGCTGGTCGTAAGTCTAAGTGATCGCTGAACAAGTACGTCGCTAAGTGAGGAAAGGCTGTTTATAGTTTAATAAAAGTGTAGTGAAAAATGCTACATAAGTGTTAGTGGACAGGGATTGTTCTGAAAATGGCAGTGTCTTAACTCTTAAACTGTCCACACACAGATCTATGTTCACGTGCATAGCGCTCCAAACGTAGGTCTACGTTTTTTCCCATAAGAAAGCATGTAAAATCAAACGTAGATTTATGTACATTCGGAGCACTATGCACGTGTATGTAGATCTAGGTTTGGACAGTTTAAGGGTTAAGACACAGGTGTTATCAGAACACAGCTGTTTTCAGCAGCGGTCCCCATCCACTAACACTTACGGAGCATTTTTCACCACTTATATTCAATTATACACACGTCAGATAAAATACACACGTCATAAGTTTTTCTCCTATACGTGGGTTATTTGTGTATCATTCCAGCCGTGGCATTGTGCCTTTTTATTCTTTAGAGCCTTATTAATGATGTGATGTACTCAAATAATGTAATATTATTTCAACCCTTCATTTACAAAGCCTAAAGAATAAACAGTCAAAATACCGTGGGTGGAAGGAATCACAGACAACCTACACTTACTAGAGACAACCTGTGACGACATTTCAGTCTGTCCTGCGGCAGCTGTGACTTGACGGTGATCCAGAGACACGCCAAAACAGTCAGATATCCTCTCGTAATTGCAGGGTATTTGGGATTTATATCAAAAATCTTTACAATAATCTAAAGTGATGGTTCTTCACCTTTCCAAGTATTGTTATCCCTTCATTTGTATTTTTTTTTTGTACCCCTTGTCAAAAAGATTTTTTTTTTTCAACATTTTTACTGTGAAAAATATAAAGGCAAAGCAAATCGATGACTGTTATGAATAAAAACTAGAATATATTTGATTATAAATAAAAAAATACGTATACTGATTTGCTCTTTACTTTTTGTTAGTGATTGGTTATTAGTGAATGGTTACTAATGATTCTTAATGATTGGTTATTATCAATGTTTTATTGTTAAATGGTATATAGGGTTGGGAGAAATGAGCATCACACACATGAGAACAATGCAAAAAAAAAGGAGGGATAGTTTGAACAAACAAAAAGAGTCACCAAGGAAAAGAAGAATCAGAGACTTTTGGTTACATAATCGGGTTCAGGGAAACCGGTTAGCCAGACTTAATCCTGGAGATGATAGGTACAGTGTCTGCACTCTGAAGGATCCTGTTTCCTGATGACCTGATAAATTAGACACATGTGTGATGCTTTGGATATCTTTACTACCGAGGAAACGTTTTGCCACACTGGCTTCATCAGTCCTATATAAAGAAGAATGGTGACGATCAGAAGGAGTTTGAGGTAATCAGTCCCTCAGACTGATTACCTCAATCAGTCTGAGGGACTGATTACCTCAAACTCCTTCTGATCTTCACCATTCTTCTTTATATAGGACTGATGAAGCCATTGTGTGGCAAAAGTTTCCTTGGTAAAGATACCCAGGTGGTGCAGGTGTTTTATCAACTCGTCAGTTCTCTAAATGACCCTCTAAACCACATCGTCTCCACTTCTTGAAAACGGTTTATTTTAAGGAGTGAATGGAGACGAGTGGTTTTTGGGACCTGACAAGCCTGTTGGAGTGTGAACAGGGTAATATTTTGTGAAGAGATTCAGGGAAACCGGTTAGCCAGACTTGAGTCCTGGAAGTGGGAAGTACAATGCCTGCACTTGAAAGGAGGGGTTTGGGATATTGGCTGTTTGGAGGGACGTCTAAACTGTCGTATCTGAGCGCCTCTGCAAAGACATTGATTACGTAGGAATGATGGTGAAAGTGTTGAATGATGAAAGTTTTTTTCTTTTTTTGGGTCACTCTGCAAATACTTAATTGACATTTTATTTATTTACTTATTTTTTTAACATGGCCAGTTCCTACCGAGACAGGGTGACCCAAAAAGAAAGAAAAAACTTTCATCTTCATTAAACACTTTAACCATCACTCATACATAATCACTGTCTTTGCAGAGGTGCTCAGATACGACAGTTTAGGCATCCCTCCAAACTGCCAATATCCTAAACCTCTCCTTTAAAGTGCAGGCACTGTACTTCCCATTTCCAAGTCCAGCTAACCATTTTCCCTGAATCCCTTCACAAAATATTACCCTGCTCACACTCCAATAGCTCATTTGACATTGTATATATGTACAGTGGACCCCCGGTTTACGATCAGCTCCCAATGCGACCAATTATGTAAGTGTATTTATGTAAGTGCGTTTGTATGTGTATGTTTGGGGGTCTGAAATGGACTAATCTAATTCACAATATTCCTTATGGGAACAAATTCGGTCAGTACTGGCACCTGAACATACTTCTGGAATGAAATAATATCGTAAACCGGGGGTCCAATGTACTAAGAAATTCTTATCAACAGGTAGGAGTGGGTTGCGTCAGCCAAGTGGGATGCACCGAGGCTTAGGCGGCAGTGATCCCCGGTTACTGGAGCACATCACGCCTAACAGTAGTCGGGGCACATCTCCAGCACGTTCTCACAACTCTCCCACGGCATCTCAGACGGATATTCGTCAAGGACCCAGAACATCTAGGCTCCAGGCTCCCCAGGTCAGTATCCTTGTCTTGTAAAGTCAAAACATGGACACAGGGAGAGTGTAGGCTTTAATATTGGTTCTTGTTTGCCCATCATTTTAGGAAGTATAAATCTCAGTGGGAGAAGGCCAGCATGTTAAAAGAAAATCTACGACATAAAAATTTAACCTGTCATTTGGTTGATGATAGTCATGTTTATACAGGCATTCCTCACTAATACGGTGGGTTAGGCTCCAGACTGCCACTATAAAGCAATCACAGCCTTTTTTGACTTGCTACTCCATACAAAAGCATAAAAACATGTTTACACACTCATTTATTGAGTATGCAAAAGCACTAGGCCTAAAAAACTATGCTAAAGTAAACATCTTAAAAACAAGGCAAACCGAAAATGATACATGTGAATATAATTGAAAAGCGCGGTATTACTGAAGCGCTCTAAAGTGAGCGTTGTATCAAAGACGTATGTCTGTACTGTACATAGCATAATAAACATAATTTAGCATAATCATAATCATTATACTGTAGTATAATTATGATTACTTGATATATGCTTTTATTTACAGTTGTTTTAAAGACTTAGGATACTCGTAGATAATTTTGAAGATAAAAGACCAATATATAAAACACTTAAGAATTATTATAGTGGTGTAAGCCATTAAGAATTATTATAGTAGTGTTATTCATTAAGAATTATAGTGGTGTAAGCCATTAAGAATTATTATAGTGGTGTAAGCCATTAAGAATTATTATAGTGGTGTTATTCATTAAGAATTATAGTGGTGTAAGCCATTAAGAATTATTATAGTGGTGTAAGCCATTAAGAATTATTATAGTGGTGTAAGCCATTAAGAATTATTATAGTGCTGTAAGCCATTAACCCTTTCAGGGTTTCTGATGTACTAGTACAGCTTACGCACCAGGACTTTTGACGTACTAGTACGCCTAAATTCTAGCGCCCTGAAATCTAGTGAGAGAAAGCTGGTAGGCCTACATATGAAAGAATGGGTCTATGTGGTCAGTGTGCGCAGTATAAAAAAAATCCTGCAGCACACAGTGCGAAATGAGAAAAAAAAAAAAACTTTGACAGTGTTTTTGGTTTAAAACAGCGACTTTGCACTGTATTTTCGTATGGTATTTATGATGGTATTCTAGTTTTCCTGGTCTCATTTTATAGAATGGAAGACATATTATAGAAATTGAGATGATTTTGATTGGTTTTACAGTGAAAAGTACCTTGAAATTGAGCTCAAAGTAGCAGAAATCTCTGATTTTTGCCAAAGTTCAAAAGTAAACAAATCATGCTGTGCGTCCAATACACATCAACTGGTGTGTCTAATATTCTTTCACAAGTGCGCTGATATGATTTATACCATTTCTACACTAATGCAGTAGTCTGCATAACAGTAAATCTTCTATTTTTTGTGAGAATAAAAATTCAAAGTGGAAAGCAAAAGAAATGTAACAGAGGCCTGGGGATGTGACTAATAAACAGAGGAAATGTTATTTTAGTGCCAGGAATGCCTTATTTGTTTATTCTGGACCCTATTTGGAAATTGGCATCTTTTGAAATTTGTGTGAAATTGGCAAAATTGCTAAATTCTGACCACTTTATTGAATAGTTGAAATTGGTAAATGGGTGGTTTCTTGTACTCATTCGATAGAAAAAATGGAGTTCTAGTGAAATAGTTATGACTTTTGTCGACTAGTACACTAGAATTGGCCGAAAATAGGGCTCAGAGTGGGCAAAATCGCCGATGTGTAAACATCGTCGAGACCACTAACTTCGCGAGAGCATAATTCCATGAGTTTTCCATCAAATTTCATACTTTTGGTGTCTTTATGATCGGGAAAAGATTCTCTATCTTTTTATAAGAAAAAATAATTTTTTTTTTTCTGAAAAATTTTCAACCCTGAGAACAAGTTTTGGAGAGGGCCTCTCGACCCTGAAAGGGTTAAGAATTATTATAGTGGATAATTCATAAAGACTTACTATAGTGGTGTGAGCCATTAAGAATTATTATAGTGGTGTAAGCCATTAAGAATTATTATAGTGGTGTAATCCATTAAGAATTATAGTCGTGTAAGCCATTAAGAATTATAGTCGTGTAAGCCATTAAGTGTTAATTTTGGCTTTCCCAGTTTACAGTGCCTTTGAAATTACGAATTATGTTGGTAAACAATTTTCACCACTGACCATTTATGTGAGTTACCTGATGCCTAGGTATGTGTGTACTGTACTGGAGAATTTTTTTGTTTTTTTTAACAATTCAGCCATTTAACACTGAGGCAGGATGGCCCAAAAAAGAAATTCTTTAACTATCATTCATTTTATCACTGTCTTGCCAAAGGGGCAAATATCTCCACTCCTTCAGAGTGCTGGCAGTGTCCTTGCCACCTCCAGGACTCAAGTCCGGCTAACTGGAGAATATCCAAGTTAACAATGGTTAATATTGCTGGTTGATATTTAACCTATAAGCTTCGTGTAAACTTCAGTAGTCGAACAGTGAAAGAGTGATTATTTTTTCGATAATTATTTCTTTCGGGTCACCCTGCCTCAGTGAGGAACAGCTGATGTGTTAAATAAAGAATTCTTTATATATATTATATACCAGTACTGTGCTTATGATGATTACATAATAAATATTTGCAGTTGATAATATAATTTGTTGGATAATTACTAATTATTAAAGATAAACCGAGATATTTTAGTGGGTATTATAGACCCTATATGTTTAGCTCTTCCAGTGGTTTTATAATAATTGTCAGGTTAGCTGGACTTGAGGGATGAGGATATTTGCAGGTTTTTGAACTGTGGTATCGGCGCCCATCTGGCAAGACAGTGACGGAGTGAGTGATGGTGAAAGCGTTTCTTCTTTTTTTAGGTCACCCTGCCTTGGTGGGAGACAGCCGGTGTGTTAAAAAAAAAAAAGCTGAAGGTAATAGTGTGCAAGCTTTGGAAATGTACAGAAAGAATAAAAGTCACAATATCATGGCTGAAACACTGCACCAATAACCAGCACTTGGGACTGTAAATTTCTGACAATGTTTTGATCCATCCTGGACTTGGGAGAGTAAATTTCTGACAATGTTTTGATCCATCCAGGACTTGAGAGAGTAAATTTCTGACAATGTTTTGATCCATCCAGGACTTGAGAGAGTAAATTTCTGACAATGTTTTGATCCATCCTGGATTGTCAAGAAACACAACTGAAGAATCAAATCATCACAGGTTTCCTCTCCTACAGAAACTCGTGGGTTATTTATGACTTGGAAATACAAATAGAAACTTTATAAAGTAAAATAAAGTTTAATATAAAATTACGATGATTGACATATAACACTGCTTTATAGAAAGCCCTTAGAGAAGCATGCCATTTTGAACAGCCTTAAAGCTAAATTACGATTATACATACATGAATAGGTACATTAGTTTTTAAAATACTGGAGGTATTTACCAATTCGATAAAAAAAGTGTAATTAGATATATATTACAGAAGAAGCTGGGTACATGTGATAAGTGAATAGTACGCAATACAATTTTTGCTTTTTTTAATGATACAGTGGAACCTCAAATATCGAACTTTCTTCAGTCCAGAAGGCTGTTCGAGTGCCTTTACCGAATTAATTTATTCCTATCAGGAATAATGTAAATTAGATTAGTCCATTTCAGACCCTCAAAAATATGCTTATAAAAGCATTTACAAAAATACACTTACATAATTGGTTGTGTTGGGAGCAGTTTGATTTTTGAGGTTCCACTGTAGAAGCAATGCAGTTGATGTGTATGTTATGGTATATATATGGAGCAAGGAGCTAGTAACCCCTTCTCCTGTATAAATTACTAACTCTAAACAAGAAAAACTTGATTGGATACGGCTGGTTTGTTGAAAAAAAAAATACATGAACCTTGGTAATAGATACCGACAAGCTAGTTTAGAAAAAACTTAAGCATACATTAGGACGTGTTCATTAGAAAATGTTTCGGTCCTGGGACCTTGATCACTTCTACCATACAAAGGTTAACCCTGGAACTGTCCAAACATAGGTCTACATTCACTTATGTAAAGCTCTGAACGTAGATCTACTATTTTTTACATAAGAAAGTGAGGTGAAAGTGTTGAATGATGATGAAAGTATTTTCTTTTTGGGGATTTTCTTTCGTTTTCGGGTCACCCTGTCTCGGTGGGAGACGGCCGACTTGTTAAAAAAAAAAAAAGCATGTAAAATCGAACGTAGATCTACGTTCGGAGCACTACACGAGCAAACGTAGATCTACGTTTGGACAGTTTAAGGGTTAAAACGGTAGTATATTTAGGCAGAGTGAGGTGTGACTGATGTGTAGTGACCTGAAGAATGTAACAAAACATTGGTAAACACAAATGAACGCCACTAGCATGCAATGCATTTTCAGAAAACTAATCCTAATGCTTAAATGTTACTTTAGATTTAGACATAGACTATTAAGTACGATTTCTTATGCAGTTAACTACAGTCATAAGTACAAATACAAATTTATTTCTTTGCATAGTATACAATGTGAGACTAGCATGTTACAAGGTATTGTTAAGCTCGAAGAAAGCCACTAGCATGTTGGAGCATTTCAGGCAGATGAATCCTAATGATTGCACACTACTTAAGACTAGACATGGATCAACAAACGGTAATTTTAATTATGCATTTTTTGAATTTTTACAAGACGAGAGGGTAGCTAGTGAACAGATGGTGCTATTAAACTAGTATTACATATACAGTATGGCTTGATTTCCAGGTTTGAGTGATCGCCATCAGCTTCTCATGACGAGGGACCGTTAGTTCGATTTTTTTTATTTTACACAAGATCTGCTCAGATTTAATAATTACGTAACTTTGGCTTGTTTCTAAAATTTATTTTTTTGGGGGGAAATTGGGCCAAAATTCTCTTGCCAGTTATGTTTTTTGTCATTGGATCCAAATGTACTTTTTACAAGGCATCGATTTTATTTTAGTCTTTTGATTGAGATTAATTTATAAAG